GGAGTAACTATAGTTTAGAACTTTTTTTTTTTTTTTTTTTTTACATTTTTAACAGAATCGGGCCATTATTACCCAATCTAAAATTGGGTTGAGACTTGAGACCTGACTCATTATAGACAAGTTGTTCTCCAAGCCTTGTTAAGTTGTAAATGGGCCTGTTTGAATCAAGGAATTGGCCCTTGTAGACCCGTTTAACATGGCAAGGATGTAAACCATGCGCATAGGGAAAGCTTGCATTTGCATATGATAAAATGTCCAATTCATTTATACTTCAAAACTAATAAAATTGACATAAGTTATGATCCAACCTGTCCCTGCTTCTCATTCACATATAACTGGCATGTGTTTTGCCTCTTTGAATTGGCAAAATCAGCTCAATAATAGATCACCTAGCAGCTCATCCACCAAATAGTTCACCGTCCCACGCTCAACTTCAAAAGCCAGCCCTTCTTGTTCTTCTTCAAACTTGCTCCACCCTCCTCTATCCACATCTCTTAAAAAAATCTCTCCCATGTCCTCTGCTACCCAATCCACAACCTCCCTACTTTCCCTATTGATCCATGACTTTGCTATCCTAACCATTTCATTCTCAATCTCATAATTTCTACCATGATCTTTAATTTTATATAATTCTTCTCTGAATAAGTCCAAAAGCAGTTTGTCCATGTTGTTTTTATCGGTCCCTAATGAACTGGTTGCTTTGGCATGATCTAGCAGCCATTTTGCCTTCTTTTCAATACCATCCGTTTCTTCCTTCGCGTCGTCATCATCATCATTATCATCTTCTTCTTCTTCTTCCATTGACATCCACTCTTCTAGATTGGTAGGGTTCATTTTGGCCAGACACTGGAAATGCCTAATCTTTTGCACAAGCTTCTGCTTTTCCCCTGCATTCAAAAATTATAGACAGGATCACGTTTGAGGTACTAAATTGATGTTGGAAACTAATGACAAAGAAATGACAGAACATACTCTCCATATGTGCAAGGCTTTGATTAAAAGAGGATATTGGTTCTTCAGCTTCCTCATATTGAAAACCAAGCACTGAAACTGGGCTCTGTTGTTCTTCCTCCTCATATTCCAATTCCCCCTGTTTATGTTCATCTTATTAGCAATTTTTTTTTTTAGTAACTAAAGAAACAGAAATGCAACATCTACTTTGATCAATTCAAATACCGTAAAAATATAGTAATTTTTAGTATTATATTTATAGAGTGTTACTTATCATCATCCTTCATTTCATTTGTATCATTTCCTTCATAATCCAATCATATGTTCTTCTCATGCAGGCTAATCTTTCGAATTGATACATACAATTTTATCTTATCAACAAAGTTTCACAATAGTAATTTAATTTTATAGTGTGATGTGAAATTACCGGACTAGTCAACCATTTTCCAAATAATAAATCCTACTGTTTTTTTTTTTCTTTTTATTTTAAATGTCATAAACATGTACTACTACATTTAAATCAAAATTCTTCATGTTTTAATTTTTCTCAGTAGCTTCTGTTTCGCCCTTAGATGCCCACCTTTGTTAAACTTTCGCAAAGGAGACTAAACAAATGGTAGTGAGTGGCAAAGTCAACCATATTCCACTACAAGACACTAGATCACTGTTGATAAAACTGTTGATAAGTTAAACTAAAATCATCTAGCACCCTCAACAGCATGACACATCAAATGTCTTCGAGGGTGCAGATGCACTAAATAATTGCTCACCTTAGGCCCCACTGCAGACTCAGATGCTACCACCCTTGTCTTCTGCACTGAATCCTCGCCGACACACTGTAAGTTGTTCTCACCACATTCCTCTGGTAAATACTCCGACGTGCAATCACTCTCACAACAGCTGGACCGGTTGTTGCTATAAGGTGTGGTGGTGGAGGAGGCCGTCGTAGTGGTGGACCTGGTGGTGGTGCAGTGCTGAGGTGAAGGAACAAGATCTAGCGGCGGAGATTTTTCATCCACGAACTCACAGAACGACTGCCACCGCATGATGTCTTTAACCGTAATTACCTTAAATTTGACTTCATTTTCTTTCTTATGACAAACACGATTTGAATTCCTCCGCGGCAGGCTTCTCGAGAAGAAGGTGGGTGATTTAACCGTCGCGAAATGGATGTTCTTGACGGCGTTGATCACGGATTGGAAAGCCGACATTTTCCCAGCTGCAGCCTTGGATCGGCTTCTCTGAAGTTTGCATCGGTTTGAATTAAGATCAATTTGGATGAGATTTGGAACGCAGGGTTCACGATCCTGACATTTTCGCCTCGGAAACGATTTGAAACCACAGGAAGAAGATGAATTTGAGTCATCAAGGAGGAAATCTTTAAGCATTCGCGGTCTCCGCTCCAATGGCAACTGTTCCATTATTCTCTATAGCAGAGAAGAGAGAAGAAATAATATGAAAACGGAGGAGTGGGAAGTGGGAAGTGAGAAGGGAAGGAGGGAAATGAAATATAAAGGGGTGGGAAATGCGAATTGGAAGAAGAAAGAGAGAGGAGGCAGGTTGTTGGAGGGAAATGGATCTAGCCAGGCATGGGCGTGCAATATGGTTCAAATTGGGAATCCAAGTGAGATTTCATTCTTAAGTGAAAATGTTGAAGTCAAGTGAGTGGGTAATAAGGAAGTGAAAGAATGGTTCAAAGTGGGAATCTAAGTGAGATTTGATTCGAAGTGAAAATGTTGAAGTCAGGTGAGTGAGTAATGAGTAAGTATGGTTTCAAGTTTGACTGGTGACTGGGGAGTGGAGTGTCAGTGAGGAAGGGTTGCAAGCAGAGCAGTGGATCTTTTGGCTTTGTGGGGTAAGATACGAACACAAGCATTTAATGACGCGTACAACTGACATCCTTTCATGTTTGATCCGTATTATCATGGAGGGCCTACAAATTAATGCTCATTTTCTTTTTCAGCAATCAGGTGTCCGGCTGCACAGCAACTTCTGTTACATTCCAGGTGTAAATTGCACTAATATTTTTTAAAAAAACTAATAAGAATAAAATTTGAGTTCATCCTGCATTTTTAAATTTGAGAGGGAAGAATTTATTTTTAAGTAAGTTTGTTAGTAATAACTTGGGCTAAACATGTCCAAGCTCCCTTTCTTTCTTCCTAAACTACAGACCTGCAGCTTAGTAATGTATTGTTAGAAAAATACCATAATAAATTAATGTTTAATGTTTGAATGGGTTTTCAAACCCTATAGTTTATTTTTAATCTTTAGTGTTTGAATTAAATTCATCAAAAACTTAATTTTCATCCACGATTTAAAAATTCCTCATTTTTCATAATTCTTCATGTTTAAAAAAAAATTAATGTTTAATATTTGCCAAATCTTACGAAAGTAATAAATTTGTTGTAGTTGTACCAAAAATAAAAAAGATAGGAAAATCGTATTCGCCAATTCATGCGGATCTGATGATGTGTGGACACTGTCCGTAACCGGATCCGATGATGTTTTCATGTTGAGCAGTGCTAGGAGCACTCGCCTCCTGCACTCTCCGGCCAATACTCTCCCTTTCATTGGGCCACGTAAGGTTGTTTAAGCTCTGAAGTGCAACCACTTGCGAACTAAAATAACGTGGCCCAATGAAAGGAGGAGTGTTGGTGGGAGAGTGCAGGAGGCGAGTGCCCCTAGTACTGCTCTTTCATGTTTTGTGACTTTTGTCTACACTAGGCTGGCGAACGATCCTGTCCATCTCAGATTAGTGCTTCATCAGGCCCAATATTTCAGTTAATTGGGCTTAAGACAATATGAAATAGGAAAAAGTGAGATAGATGAAAAAGAATATGAAATAGGAAAGGAGGAGGAGAAGAAAGGGAATGAGATGAGAAAGTGAAATAAAAAGAGAGGAAAGAGAAAAGAGAAAGGTAAATTAAAGAAAGGAAATAAAGAAAAAGAAGAAGAAGAGAAGAAAAGAAAAACACAATGAAAAAGTTGGTGGAATCTTGTCCATAAATAGAGTCATAGTGTTATCAAATAACTATGGTGAAAACTTTAAAATATTTTTTTGAAATAAAGGCACGATAAGCATAATTTTGAAATTTTTTAGAAATTATTTAATACCGCATTGTGATATCTAATAATTAAGGTAAAAATTTTAAAATATTTTTTTACAAACAAAGGTACCATGAGGGGATATTAAAAAATATTGAAATTATCTGATACTGCAAGGTGGTGTCAAATTAAAATGGGAAAACCTATATAAAATGAAAAGTCACTAATTTAAATTGAAATTTGATTTTCTTTTATATATATATATATATTTAATATCGCATTGCATTATCAAATAAGTTTTGTTTTGTTGTTTTCTTCTTCTTCTTTTGTTTCTCTTTTTTTTTTTTTTAAAGAAAAAACTACATTAAAAATTCTATGAATTCTTATATAAAATTTTGATATTATAAAATTGGAATTTGATTCAACACTAGAATTCTTATATAAAATTTTGAAATTATACATGCCCCAATTACCAATCTTCAAATAATTTTAGTCTTAAACACTAAAATCTATAACTTATACTTTAAACATAATACATATCGACACCATTAGCCATTTTGATACTATGTGATGTCAAATATTAATTGGCATAGCTATGCGATGTCAAATACTAATTCATAAATTTACACTACAAAATCTAGCCTTTAATGCAAATTTATTTAATATTGTACTGTGGTTTCTAATAACTCAACATATTAAATTCACAAAACGAATGTTTAGTTTCTTGTTAATTTACCATTATTTAACACTACACTACAATGTCAAATAAAATGACAAGAATAAATGTATTATTTTTTTTTATTGTTCTTGTATTTAATACCACACCAGTGCCAAACAATTATAAAAAATACTATTATTTTAACTCTGCAATGTATCGTGTAATAAATTTGACTCAAAAGATTATACATTAGTAGGTAATTATTTGACTCTCTACTACAATATCAAAATAATAATTATATTAAGTGATTTGATAAAATATATTATTTAACACCGTTCTATAATATTAAAAAAAATTTTTTGGAACCAGTTATTTTAACAATGTCAAATTAGTAGTGTCATATACAAGGATTATATGGAAATTCGAGTAATTTATGAAGTGAAATTTCACATGTTTTTATTCTGAACATGTCTGCCAATGCCATTCACATCTGCGTGGTCATGGAGTGACTGGTACGCGAAAGTGGTCCCGATCCTATACTTTGGGGTATTCAATTCATTCCTTTGGGATAATTTGTGGATCTATAAGCAATGGTGTGAAATTTCGATGCTTATTCCTCCCGAAAATGTGTTTGGTAACACGCATAAGTAGACTTTATAGCATTATGCCATAATGTCATTTCTGATTATGATATTTATCTTGTGAACATGTAATATTATAATATATGTAGTTATTGTTACACACATCAAAATATAGACACATAATCTTAGTTTTTCTTTTTTAACATTTAGTTATGTTATTTTGAAATATTATCTTGTAGATTGATTTGAATATATTACTTAATAAATATTATATTGTATTGGTTATCAACTAATATTTAATGTTATCAATTATTTCTAGCATTTAAAATAAATCAAACCAATATTTTTAAAGATAATATTAAAAAAAATGTGTGACTACAATAATTTTGTATATGATTATAACCATGCCTATAAGTTTGAATTATTTTGTAAGTAGATTACTTTGGAGTAATTAATTGATTATGAACTCTTTTACAACACGCTGAGTCTAACAATTGATATGACGTGATTTTATATGGCTTAATATGATTGTATCTTATGACGGGTATTAATGTTTATAGATTTTAAGACTCAAGTTTATATTGTATGTTATGACTAGTTTTGTATGCAAGCTATTTTCCTGTTGATATTGATTTAGAACAAGAGTATTATGTACTTTTTGCTAAATTAGTTTTGTATGCAAGCTATTGTTCTCCTTAGACATTTAGGCCCCGTTTAGTATAGCGGTTTTGGGGTAACGGTTAGCGGTTTTGGGGTAACGATTAGCGGTTTTATCTAAACCGCTAAATATAGGTATTTGGTAAATTTATATATTTTCAAACTGCTACAACTAAAGTGTTTGGTAAAATTTTTATTTAGCGGTTTGAGACTAACGGATAGTGGTTAGGGTCCAAATCGCTAGCGGATTGAAAAAACTAGTTTATGTAGCTTTTTGTACCAAATCGCTAGCGGATTAGAATTTTTTAATTTTATTGACAAATTTATTCATTTCAATTTTTTAATTTGTGGTCACATTTTTTAAATTAATAATTATCTAATAAATTTCA